TAGTGTCCCCGTGAGGGCCAGCGATTTCGAGTTAGACCCCCCATGGCGTCGTTTTCGTTGTGAGACCGGGCGCCACCTATCGAGATATATTTTTCCGATATATTTTAAATAATTGCTTCAGTAATATATAGCAAAATACCTGTACTTTTAATATTGTCAAAGAACCTCCCTGTGTTTATATATATATATATATATATATATATATATATATATATATAGTAAGACCAATAACCATAAGAAATAAATATGTTTAACCATGATTGAGGACCCACGAATTCCCGCCTCTCGGCCAGTTGATTGTGGCGAGAGGAACTGAGAGGACCTATATGTTATTGCTCCACGAGTTAAGTATTCGGGGATTTATGTATTTTCAGGGGCTAGCTCTTGTAACCGGCGATTAATCCGGAAGGCCACGGGATACCATGTAGCTTCCTAGAAATAAAGGAAGATCTGTTATTTATTTTAAGTGTTTTTCACCTATACCTCCAGTTCCTCGGCTTTGAGTTAATGCTCTCCCAGAATATTTTAAGTATTTTGCACATATGTCCTTTTTTGCTTATTTTATTTCCATAAGTATTAGTATTATTTTAAAGGGAGAGGTCACGATCAGCTCATTCAGTGGTGAAGGGCCGCTCATGATACGGACCCGCACACCACATTACTAGTGAACATTACTCTTATGCTTGTCTGAGCCAGATGACGTGGAAGGCGTGGGTATCATTGCTTCGATGCGAGCCACGAGAGACAGATCCCACTGTGAGGCTGCAGAGGCAAGAGTGCAGGGGATAGTCGAGCATCTTGTACACCCATGCCAAACATTCACTCCAGACTGGTGACATTGAGGACATTTCCATTTCTCATCATTTGTGGATGGTGCGTCTTGACATATCTAAGTTGATGCAACATCAGAGGGTGGGATACGATGGATGCAGGTACAGGAATCATGTGCACCCGAGGACCAGGTACACTTTTCAGATGCAGTGCAGTATCAGGAAATGTGCCCAAGGCCCCAATATTTGTAACACCACGGTTGCTCATCCTGCATCTTGCGTAATTCACAGAATTAATAGGTATACCATTTTGATGAAACTGGCGAGTAGAATAAACACCAGGTAATTCTTTGGCCTTAGAGGGATCAACACTAACAGGATACCGTGTGAGGAGAAAGGTGGAATATTTGCGAGGCCTCTCAGAGGAATCTTGCTTATCAAGCTGCAGAGCCAAAAATTCTCCCTTTGCCACACTGTTTATAATATCCTGATGGGTCCTAGACACATATACGAAACGAGACGTCACTGCTGACAT